AGAAGTATTATTTTACCTTATTGTTCTGATCTCTGCAAGCAAAACAGCCTTAAAAGAACAACAATTACAAAAGTTTAGTGTTGTCTTAACATTCAGAAAAGGCAATACAACACAGCATAAAGGAGAAATGCAGACAAGCTGAACAGCAGCTTCCTAAGCCTCTGCTAACACAGGGTTTGGCATGTCTTTACTGCCTGAGAGGTTCTGTTCAGCCTCTGAAACAAAGCAGACCTGCAAGAGTCATAATACATCTGAATTGCTGGAGGTTTCTCAGCAGAGGTTAATGACTGCCAGGAGCAGCACTGCAGCAATGCACAGGCTTGGTGCTGGAAGGAGAGAAGAAACTTAGCATACTTCAAACCCAGTCATCTTACACTTCACAGTATTCCAAGGTGGAATATGCATATGCAGCCACTTAGTCAATGCTGTCCCCTTGCCTGGTTACTGGCTTGCATAGCTGAGTTAGATACCTCTTCACTGCTTACCTGGCAGCTTGAGTAGCCTGCAGCTGCAGCTCCATATTATTACTATTAACTCCTTTGACTATTTCTTCAACTGACCAGTGTGCCAGAACCTGTACAATGAAACAATAATAAAATAAAAACGAAGGCTTTGTTGGGAGAGGAATGTGTATTCCCAGCCACAGAGGGCTTTCACACAATAGCATGAATGTGCCCCAGTTTACAACCACCTTGCTTATTGTCACCACTCTGTGATCCTCCAAAACCCCACTAGCTACAGCTTTACCTGCAGTCATCTGAACTGCTGGAAGCTTTCTGAAACAGGTGCTGTACACCAGTTACACTGAGCTTAAACTGCAGCTTCAGCCAGTTGTATTTAAGAGTGCTTTCCATCAGAGTTGATGGTACAGACACTTCAGTAGTTAGTGCTGTCCCCCAAGAAGGGATTCACACTGGCCTGGCTGCAGGAGCTCACATTGCAAGGCTCCAGGTGTGTTCATTGCAGGTACCTGCTTACCTGATTGCCCTTGTTCTCCTGAAGGGGAGAAGTTGCATCGTCGGGTAAAGTGCTCACGTTTCTTCTTTTAAGCATCTGGTCGTCTTTCTTGGCTTTCCTCAGCTCCACATTGACTTCAATGCGCCGCCTTCTCATCTCCTGGAGGACACACATTGAGTGAGTTCTTGGCTTTAGCAACTGATGTCTAAAGAGATGATGGTTGGCCAAAGCACTGATTGCACCAGGATACTCACTGTGCTGTCCTTCCCTTTGTTCTTGAACCTGTTCAATCGAGCTGATGGTGTACTGGCATTCTCGTTTGTAGACATCTTGCTTGCTGGGTTTTTGAGAGGGGCAGATAAAAACAAGCCTGAAAACAGCAAATAAAGAGAAAGTTTACTCCACAAAAGTTAACTTAAAAATTTGGATCAATAGTCAAGAACGAGAGGCACTTATTTGTATTAGATACAATAACAGCCTCTGACTTGGTCAACAGCTGCCTCTTTAAACAGCCCAATGTTACAGAAAAGCTGTAGCATCAACACAAAAACAGAAGACATGCTCATATTGTTTTAAGACACTTTCAACCACAAATATTACCAGAGTCGTTATTTTTAGGATCAAGAGAGATCTTCCTTCCCGCAGAGAGCACACACACTTTTAAATACTATTTGAACGCTTCTGTCGCTGTGTCACGTACTCGTGCAGCACAAGATCCCACCCGGTCCCACCTCGACCCTTCTGGGAGAGAACAGCGAGCGTTCGGGCGAGCCCAGCGAGCACAGGGCAGTTCGCTAAGCCGGTGCAGCCAGCAGCAAACAGCAACGGCTACACGGCTAACGGGACAAACCCCTGCCCCTCGGCCTGACCCACCGCGGCCACAACCTGCACAACAGCCTGCACAAGGATACAGCGGGATACAGCAGCTCTGTCAGCACAGCGGCGACTCGGGAGGCTCCGCAGGGAGGCCCCGGCAGGGATTGCCGGCGGAGCAGGGCCCCGCCTGACAGAGCGGCGCACGGCCCGCAACCCCCGGCCCCCACCCGTGCCGCGGTGTCCCACCCAGGCCCACACCCAGCCCGCACCCGTGCCGCCGGTGCCGCCACTTGAGCCTCACGCTGCCAGCACTGCCCCGGCCGCCCCACGCGGCCCTTTAAATTTCCCGCGGCCGCGCGCAACCATTGGCCAGTTCGAGCCAAAGCAGCGCCCTGATTGGCCGGTTTGAAAGCAGCTCGACACGCGTGGACGGGGCGGGCCCGGCCGGACGTCACGTGGTCACAGGCCCCGGTGCCGCGGGGCACGCCGGGACTTGTAGTGCCGAGGCCCGGCCCAGTGGGACCGCGGGGGGGGTGGGGAATTGTACCCCCAGAGGGGTTTGGGGCAGAAACACCCATTTCCTCACGCATGGCCCGGGTTCTGCCTCAGTGACCGGCAGGATGCTCCTGGGACAAGGGCATGGAGCGGCAGGATGAGGGGGAATGGCTTCCCGCTGCCAGAGGGCAGGGCTGGATGGGATATTGGGAAGGAATCCTTCCCTGCGAGGGTGGGCAGGCCCTGGCACAGGTTGCCCAGAGAAGCTGTGGCTGCCCCATCCCTGGAAGTGTCCGAGGCCAGGAGCAACCTGGGATAGTGGAAGGTGTCCCTGCCCATGGCAGGACGTGGACTTGGATCATCCTTAAGGTCCCCTCTCAACCCACTCTGTGATTCCATGATTCCAAGACCCCCTGTGTCATCTCCCCAAAGCACAGTGCATAGAAATTTAGATGTGAGGCTGCAGCTGAAGGCAATTCCACAGCCATCAGGGCAGATAAAATTAAATCCTATGGAATAACAAAAGGATTCCTGTCCCTGTGGCATGGCCTGAAGAGGATCCCAGGTCTGGGATTGCTTCCCATGGGTTCGGCCTGCTCATGAGGGATGGAATACAAAAGAACATCCTGTTTCACAGGGGATGTAATTCAAATCAAAAATTAAAACCTGTGGAAAAACACGACTCTGACAGCACCTCCAACATCTCAATATACCTATAAAGTGCAACTTAGAGAAGCATCAGGGATGCACCCATTTGTGTGCTAAACCATTACATTAAAGCACTTTATGCTGGTCTGTAGATACACACAGTAGTGGAGGGGGGATTACTAGTGACACCTTACACAGTGTTTTGGTTTTGGGCCTTACAGTTCTGAGCTTTCTAAAGAAAATCACAAAAACAGCTAAGTAAGGGCAGGGAAGCCAAGAGAAGAGAAGCACACTACTCAAAGAGGGAGATATTTAAAAAGACTAATTCGACAGGGAAAAAAAGGCAGCTCAAAAATAGAAATCGAGATAAAACACCTGCTGTCCTGAAGGCTCGGAGGGTCGGCATGAAGGAATCGCACTGGGTCATGGATCGGCGGCAGCACAGGGTCCAGAGCAGCGAAACCTGGGCACAGGGATGGGTGTTGAGGGAAGGGAGAGAGCGGGGAGTGCCCGGGACACCGAGGGGGTGTGTGAGGGGCTGCGGGCCGTGTGGGGCGTGAGGGTGTCCCACCCCAAGGGCTGCTACTGGAACAGCCGAGCCACGGAGAGGCGGAGGGAGGCTGGAGAAAGGGCAAGGTGGGACTGAGCTAATGGGGCTGCAGAGGGTGTGAGGCGGTAAAAAGCGCTGTGAGGGGAGACTGAGCCGTGAGGGGTGAGAGCCGTGAGGGGAGAAGGGCCCCTGAGGAGAGAAGTGTGTGGAACAGCCGGCAAGGTATGCGGGAACCACGGCCACGATGGGACAGCGTCAGGAAACTGAACGTCAGGAGTCCGTGATGGGAAGAGTTTCGGGACGGGGGTAACGAGACTGCCGCGGGGGCTCTGAGGGGCTCTGAGGGGCTCTGAGGGGCTCTGAGGGGAGGGCGGGGCTCGGGGGGCACCGCAGCCAATGGCGGCCAATGGCGGGCGGGGAGGGCGGGGCCGGCGGCGCCGGGCGGGGCTCTTGTGGGGCGGCTCGCGCAGGCTCCGGCGGGTGACCCAGTGGCCTAATGGATAAGGCATCAGCCTCCGGAGCTGGGGATTGTGGGTTCGAGTCCCATCTGGGTCGGGCCGCGATCATTTTTGTGTCACCCGCGGCGGGTCCGGCGCCCACCCGCGACCTCCCGACTCTTTTACTGCCCCCCTCGGCCCCTTCCCGTCCCGCCTGGAGCCTTCGCCTCCCTCCGTCCTGCCGGGATGCGATCAGGGCGCTGCGGGTCCCCGTGTTCCTCAGCCCCGCTGGAAAAGCTTTTCCATGTCCGCTGGAAACGGCGGGAACGCTCCAAGCGTCGCTGCGGCTGCTGGAATGGTGGGGATGCTCCAAACGCCGCTCCTCCTAATGGAGATCCTGTGCAGGTAAAGAGGCCGGAGGAACTCGAGTAAGGGTTGAGTTACAGCACCGGTTAATTCAGCAGGAAAATCCTTGGAGCTGTGGGATGCTCACGTGGCCATCCATCCTGCTTCTCTCAGTCGCTGCAGGTACGAGCAGGACACCAGTTCAGCAGGAATGTGGGAGCTCTCCTCTCCCTCATCCTTAGTTTACATTCCTGTTCCCGTACTAGCTCTCTTGGGATGCTTCTGGCCTTAAAATGGGAAAAGTAAGAAAGCAAAATAAGGATTAATAAGCCCTGCGCTAGAAATGTAACTCGTTGTGTTAAAATGTCATTTATTTTGCACGTTATTTTAGTTAATTTTCTGTATCTTTAGCCATCGGATGCTGAGCTTGTAACTATCTTATTGAACTGCTCAGTGAAGGCAGGACAGAACAGACTGCTTAAACCAGACAACCATTCCTGCCCCAGGCACTGCTGAGGGGCAGATTTTCTGTCGGGGGTGGGTCCCAGGAGCCTTTATGGGGTTTATAAGTTGTTTGTTGCACCTTGAGCGAGTTCACAAACTTCCACACCAGCCGGGAGCAGCTGCTGAGAGACACTGCCACAAAGGGAATGTTGTGTGGCAATAAGCTCACATAGAAATAAGCCCCCTTAATTCAGTAATCCAAATCAGGGCTGGCTGGGTGTGTGAAAACTTGCAGAGTTCTTCTTGTTAGCAAAGAGAGATTTCAAAATAAAGCCGTGTCGGATCAGCAGAGCTTTGGCTTGGGCTGGACAGTCACCACTGCTTTTCTGCAGTCTGGAGGGAATCACTGGAACTGGTTCCTTAAACTAAAAGAGGAGATTACCAGCTGTGTAAGTGGAGGTGGCCAGAAATCCCCAAATATGTTCCACTGCAATGCACATCCTTCACAGACGCAGCAAGGCTGTTCCAGCACCTTCCAATTCCAAGATGAATTCTCCATATCCAATAAACCCCGACCTGTTCTGTACGGTTCTCTCTACAAAGTGCCATAAGAGGCAAGACTCTCCCCTAAATAAAAAATCTGTTGCTAAAAACATATCATTGCCAGCACGCAGGGGACAGCAGCAGCACAGAGCTATTCCCGATGGGAAGAGGTGCTGGAGCACATCCCTCCTGGGCAGGGGTGCTGGAGGGACGGCAGCAGCTTGGTCTTGCTCCAGTGGGTTGTCCAGTGAGTGATTCCCGTTTCCCCTAAGGCTGCCTCTCATTAGCATGAAACGGGGGAAGGGCATAAAAGACTCCAGTTCATTGTGAGTCTGGAAAAATACTTCGAAATGACAAGCCAAGTGTTGTGGCTCCTCTGCTTTGCCATTAGCTCATCCTCGGGTAAGTCTCTCTCGCATTCCGAGCGGGGCTGGGGCAGATTTGCCTTTGGAATCAGGGGAGGCTGAAAGACATTCCTGCAAATCCTTGCCCTCCAGGCTGTAGCCTTTTCAGCGAGTGATGTGTAAGGGCTCAGGGAAAGAAACATTTCAACCTGTTGGTGGGGTGGGAATGCAAATTGCAATATTTGATTTGTCAGATCTGGAGGAACTGAGAGCACCTGGCAGGAGCAGGCAGGGAGCTGATGCCATGAGTCCTGAGTGGCAGGTGAGGTTTGATTTGCTTCTGCATCTGGGATTTTTATATCTCTTTTAGTCCCTTTCACTTCTTAATATCAGGTTTCTGACTGACTGCAGCTCTGTGCTGCCATGTGTGCCTGCAGCAAGCTGTCCTGAACTGGTTTATTTGGGTTTTAGTACATCACTGACAGAAAATAAATAAGATTTACATCTGTTCTATTGGGAATTGGTTACGTTGCAGTCATACTGCAACAGCTAGACAGGAATATGCTGGTACAGGAGGAGGAACCTCAAGGTCCTGAACAGATTGAGTAGAGAAAAATGAACTATTTCTCGTTCCACTCCGTGACTGAGAGGGCATGATGAACTGGTAGGAGAGTGTTCTTACACACCCAAGTGTGAAACACCTGTTCAGAGTGCACAGCTCATACTGAACCATCTCCAGAACACCCTTCCCTGCTGCTCCCTTCAGCTTGGACTCCTTCCACCCCCCTCTCCATGGACATTCTTTTGACTTTACGTGTGGCCAGCCCGAATATCAGGGAATCTTTCCCATGACAGCAGCTGGTGAGAGCAGAGGGGGAAGAAGTGGCAAGGTCAGCAGTTGAGTCAGGCAGAGGAGATAAACCAGGACGTTGTTCATCTGGGGGTGTCAAACCTCTCTTCTCACACAGGGACTGGGATCAGCCTCCTACACACCCAGAGTACCCACGGCCACCACCAGCAGCACGGCTGGGTGGGCGGGAGCTGTGTGAGAGCTCTGCTGGCTCACTCAGGGCTCAGGCACTAAAGGAACAGCAAAATGGACTGCAAGGGGAAATTTCTCTCTTCCCAGCCTAATCAGAAGGTCATTTTGCTTTTTGAGGTCCAGCTGATTGAGGTGAAGGTATAAACACAAGCATAGGTGACTGCCCCGTTTGTGTGAAGTGTCAGTAAGTCATTTCTCACTGGATTCCAAGACACTTCCTCTCTTTCTCAAGCCTTGTCCTCTCAAATTAAGAAAAGCCTTGAAATAATTATTTCTCAGCAGCAGTAACCTAATTACCAGTTAGAGATCCAAAAACTGTGGATAAAGATCTTTCCAGTAACGTCCAAAGCCCAAAGCTGCTGAAAGGTCCGGATGACACTGTCAATAAGGCATCCCATGGATGGGAAAACCAAACAGTTCTGCTGTCATGGTCTTTTAAACAAGCATCCCAAATGGCAACGTGAACCTTGTTTCCTCAGATGCTCCCTGGAGACTCAGGGGTTTGAGAAAAGGGTTTGTTTTTAATTTGCAACAATAATAAAGTAAAAATGCAAACCTCCCATTCTGCTCACACAGCTGCATTCCCTGTGCTTGGGCCTGCCACTTCTGAGTACAGAAGAATGAGCAGCTCTACTGTATTTCATCTGTTCAGCTACTTATCAGTTATATATTTATCAGTTATTAATATATCAATTATATATTGTTGAGGGACTTATGGATTAGAACCTCAAATCATCCCACATTCAGAAGAAGATGGAATAAAAAACTGAAAGTGCTGATTTCTCTCTCTCTTTTTGTTGTAGGATCCCTGCCCTATGCTGAGAAAGCTGGCCAGGCTCTCAGCAAAGATGCTTTTAGTTCAGCAGCTGCTGCCCCTGGGCAGGTGAAGCTGCCAGCCCGTGGCACCAGCAGTGCCAGTGGGAATTCCAGGGAACGCTGGCTCCTGCCTCCCGCCCACCCGCAGCCGCCAAAGCCTCCCGAAATCCCCTCCCTGCCCTGGGACAAGAAGAAACGCACCAAACCTTCCCTGGAGAACAGCACGGGGCTGAGGAAACACCTCTGGCAGCCCCTGGAGAGCCCATCTGAGGAGCCTTTGCCCAGCTCCCAGGACTCCAGCCAGGCCAACAGGAAGCACACGGATCGGCGCCGCGCCGGCGCTGCCAACAGCGTGTCCGCCCGCGCCCCCCACGCCACGGCCCCCCAGCAGCACGGGCCATCCACACGGGGGGCTCATCCTCTGCCAGGCTCACCGCAGCCAGGAGATCCCAACACGCTGCTCTTCAACCGCCCGGGCCAGACCACCCCCCACAAACACCCCAAGCCCTTCGCCAGGACCCCCAAACCCTCCTGGCTCACCAACCGCTGGTCCCCCGGCCCAGCCCCCCGGCTGGGAGTGCTGAGGGAAGGTAAGGACAGGCTGCTCTGGGAAGGGGCACCCCGAGATTCCAAAGGCTGGGATGAAATATCCCAAAAGGCCCGTTTCTGTCCCTCGGTGTGTGTTCCTGTTGCAGGTGGTGACGAGGAGAAGGAGTGTCTGACCCAGTGCAGGGGAGAGTGGGATGAAGTGGAGGCCTTCTGTGCCAGTGAATTTGGTAAGTTGTGTCCTCCCTGACCCACACAGAGCACAGCCCTGCTGTTCACCTGCTGCACTTCCAAATACTGCTAACAGACACCTTAAGGATGTTAAGTAATTGCCAAGTACACTAAGAGTCCCCCTCACACCTCTTTATAAAGGTACTCACATTGTCCTTTCCCTACCTTGGGCTAGTATTGATCTTTTTTTCTGTTTCCTCTACTTTCCAATCCTGGGAAGAAGAGTGTCCTTGGGACTGGTCAATGAAACTGAAAAGACCAATTGTTTCAGATAGATTAAACATTGTAGCTGGGTTACTTACCTCCTACTACTTAGAGCGGGTTTGATTTGGGGGGCTGAAGCTCGAAATAAAAATATAACGGTGAACCAAACAGAAGTAAAACTGTGATCCTCTCTCTGGAGAGGATTCTTCCTGAAGTTCCTTAGGATTCAGCGTGTTTAGTTACACCAGTGTGGACACAAGGACTAAAGATGGCAGGAAAGAGCCTGGCATTTCTGTAGGGACTGTTTAAGGACAAGCATTCTCTGACTGAAATCCTGCCTTGTGCTTACGAAGTTGTGAAACAGATACCAACTTTTTCTCACAGTATTTTAAGAGATAAGAAAAATACAACTCCAGTGGTAACAGATGTTTCCATTTGTAGAACATAAACACGTTAGGAGACATCTGTTTTCTCTAAATGGAGAAGTCAGGAAGTGCTTTCTCCAAATGCTGCCTGTTTTGGTTTTTACCACTCTCACACATTCCTGTCCAACAGGGAATGTTGCTTTAGCCCTTCTTACCCAACAGCGGCCTCGTTCTTCTCTCAGACTGAAAAGACAGGTAGGAAAGAGCCTGAGCAACAGCTGAGCCAAAGTTCCATTGCAGTGATCAGAGAGCTCTCCATTTCTTTCCATTTCCAGTGCTGAGTCAGTTCTCCCCCCAGGGCAGGTGTAGCTGGAACAGCCCCCTTTGCCTTCCCCACCCGAAGTTCCTGGAGTCAGCTCAGCACTTGTCAGAATCAGGAACTGGGAGCACAGCCTGAAGTGATGGTCTGAGCACACAACACAACCTCCTTGGTACCTCTTCTTTCAAAAGCCCAAGTGTTTCATATCCACCTTTGTACTTCAGTGGGAAGTTTTACAGTTGACCATTTGACTTTGTTGGATAAATACGTCCACTTTTTATGTACTGTGAGTAGAAAGTGGTACAAAACTCACCCCTCTCTTTTGGAACGTTCTATAAACTTCACTAAGAAACATCTCAGACCTGTAAAGCACAAAGTTAGTAAGGCAGCAGAAACTCAGGCAATGATCTCACCAAAGGTGACTTGAAGCAGCTCCCTCTGCTCCCTGAATCCAAGGATTTCTGCTGACACTTTGAGCATTTTAAAGAAGAGCCTTCACATGTACCCTGAGTTGTCACCATTATATACAATCTGATCCTTGCTTTCCCCCTCCCCCTCTCTCTTAAAACAGCAGTGAATGGAATTGTTCATGACATGGAAAGCCTGGGGAATGGAGTCCACTGGATCACCCTCCTGGTGAACGGTGATGGATTGTACAAGATGAGCCGCCTGTACGTCGTTCCCGATGCCGCCTTCTTCCGAGTTCACATCCTGCTTGTGGATACTTTGAACTGCAGTAAACCCTGTCCAGACTTCAAACTTGGTAAATAATTCCAGCTAAATCCATTCTGCTATTCCTCTGCATGCAGTGCAGTCTTAGTCTGCCCCAGTTTAATAGGCTTACCCAGGGTTGTTGGGGAAATCTGGGAAAAAAGCATTTACTCAGAGTGAAGGGCTTTCTCCATCCCAAGTTTCTGGAAAATTCCAAAAGAGAAGTGGGAAGAAGTCAGGTATCAACACAGTCTTTTCTTTACTTTATCCAGTTCCAAAACGATTGCAAGTTTTCAGGATTGCCAAAGCAATCGAAGCAGGAGCTTAAGCTGGTGGCTTTGTCAGTAGTCCAGTTTTCCTTCTAAATGCACGTTTATCAAACACCAGTATTTGCCCCAGCAGTAAATCATCATTCCCATGCAAACACCACCCCCAGGCCCCAGGGAAGCTCCATTGTATGTTCAGGATGTTTCCAAAGGCCACAACTTCCCACCTGTCCCCACCTCTGGTACCCTCAGAGTGCAGGGAGTGGTCCCACATTCCCTGTGTCCCAGCAGCCCCGTTCTCTTGGCAGGGAGCAGGTACATCGTGATGGGGCGGATCTTCCACAAGCGCCGGGAGCTGCCGGCGGAGCTGCTGCCGGCGCTGCAGGGGCGGCTCCGCCCGGGCGATGGCTGGATCGGGAACAGCGGCGGCTTCGTCAGGAGGTTCAACAGGAAAAGGGATCACAGGGTGCAGGCGGCGCGTTCCAAGTGTCCCTGAGGGCCGGTGGCTCCGTCCAGGACACGGGGAGCAGCGGGATCCATCCCCAGGGCAGCCATCGGACACTGCTTGTGCTTCAGCAAACACAGAATGCCTCGGCCAGGGAATGTTAACTTGCTCCAGCTTTTGCAGAGCCACAGGTTAGTGTAGCCTCCCCTGCTGCAGTGCACTCCTAATAATCTGTAGTAAATGTACAGCTCTGGAGGCTTCATCCCCCGTACTCAGCAACTGCACTTTAGACCCTCTCCCCCTGAACACGTCAGATCTGTACACAGCTTTGTCTGCACGGGATGTCACACAGTCCTGCCTGAACTTTTACATGCATTTGATTCAAGAGAAACCAACACCACCAAGTATCACTTGTATTGGTTTTGGTCTCCTCAAACGCGTCTTTTGTGCCACTTCTAAAACGGTCCCACAAAGCACACAGAATGCAGTGTAACTATCTGAGTAGATGAACACACTGACTGAAAGCACACCAAGAACTGAACAGCACAAATGCCCGGTTTGGCTCCTGAGTAATGGCACAAGGAATTCCCAGGAATGCAGAACGAGCACGGCCTGCACGGTTTGTGTGCCTGGGTGCACGGGCAGATCCTCCTGGATGCCACTCCCCTTCAGAAATACCACCCAGCTCGCACTCGCCCATCAGTAAAGTTATTTTTAAAATCACAGATACAATCTTTCAGTACCTTTTTAACGTGGTGGGATGGAAGAACCTGTGAAAGGGCTGCAGAGGGAATCAAATGTTTGCTGTTCCCAGTCAGTGTTTGCAGATCTTAAGTCTGTAAAAGAAACTAATAAAATGTTCATGAGGTTCTGGTTTCGCTGTCTCCTGGGTTCTGGAACACCCAAAAAGCTTATGTTATAATATCAAACAAAGGCATGTCCTGGTTTGATAAGCTGGGGATTTGACAATACATATTTATATTAAGAAATGGAAAAACAGCTTAAAAAAATACATATACAGTGGTATGACATGACCTGCAACAGGAAGCAGTGGTTTCTATGAGCATTTTCTGTCTTGAAACAAAGGCAGTTCTGGCACATTCTACCTGCCACACACCTCTGCAGCTTCATTTAGTGTCACTAAATGGGGATGGGGGACAGGTCACTGCATCGAGCATGTCGTGATACCCAGCCAAGTACCAAGAGCAAACATCACATGGTGGGACCCCAAGGCTGAGAAATTTACTCACAGTGCGGGCCTACCTAAAAAATCCATTGTCTCACTTCTGCTCTGGGGAAGGCTTTGCATGGAGCACAGCACGGATAGATGGAATTTTCCTGAGACTCTGAGGGGGCTCTGATTTGGCAGCAGGAGTGTTCTGGCAGTGAATCCAAGCCCTGGAGCGACTGGGAGGGACAGGAGGCAGGAGGAGGAAGGGTTACATGAGCATCTCCAGTTTCTCTGTTTCTATTTCCAGCCAAGTCCAGGGATAAACCAGCAACTCCTCCAGGCACCCCCTGCCCAGAGCAGCACCCAAGCCCTGTTCCCACTGTTGTAACCTAACCCAGGGAAGTGTGGGTACAAACCCAGCACGGATCTCACTATGATTGTCCCTGGGAAGGGATAAGCACAGGACACCAGTTCAAAGCCAATAACTGACACAAAACACTCCTGGATAGAGCTGCTGCTCTGGGAGCCCAAATAACAATTTATGCTCTGTTCTCTTTTTTCATCCTCTTACCTTTCCCTTCCTCCTTGGAAGGTCCTTCCTCAAAATGTTCCCAACTGAGCAAGAAGCCATTGCATGTCCCAGCCCAGCTGAGACAGAGCTGGAGCAGCACTGTTGTTACCAGCTCATCACATACTAAAGGTACACACTCAATAAAAAAGATTTCTTAGATCAAGAGTTTTTCACTCGCTGTTCCAGAACCCTCACAGCAATAACCACACCGAGAAGACAGAACTCAAGTCCAGCAGCTGCCACAGCAATTTTGGTACCTTACAGCTGATAGTTTTCTCCTCAGTAGGATCAACAGGAAAATTCTGCAGCCAACACACAGAAATCCAGGTGTGCAGGAATATTGTTGTCATCTTCCTGGGGTTTACTCGAGGCTTTTGGCTGAGCTCAGCTTTTCACTCTGCTTTAAAACCTCCATTAAACTTCTGCATGAACTAAACCAGGAGAGAGGGTAATTGCTTCAAATTTGAGGAGACAGAAAGGAAAATCAGGCTGGTACAGCTCACAATATCACAGTGTTACAACACAGGCCATTTCAAAACAACTGTTGCAATCATTTATAAAATACAAAGAGCAGGAAGACTGAGCAGAGATCACAAACCTTATGGACTTTATGCTTTAAGGCAGGTGGGGATTAATCACGAGTGATTTATTTTCAATAACACCATTTAACTGTAAAAGATCACCACTAATAAACTGAGAGGAGCACCTTGACCTGCTCCATGGCAAGTGAACACACTGAAACAGGATCACAATGGTTTGGGTTGGACAATTCATCAGCAGGATTAAACTGCACGTATGGATTGGATATGATCTGGCAAAGCCAGGACCTATATCCCTTAACATCATCAAATGTTTCATTAGAAACACCACCAAATCCATGTCAAACACATTACTTTATTTGTCTAGGATGATGTGTCCTATAAGGTACAAAAAAAAGTACTGTCCAGTTTGCCACAATTCGTTAAAAACAGCAATCTATTGCCTACAGGTAGGAAAGGTTTAAACCATGTCATATGGATTCAAAAATGAATAAATAGTCCAGAAGTACTGAGGAGCTTGGATGAGATGCAGGATATTCCCAGTGCTGAGAAAGGGGACGTTTTTCCTCGTTGCATTAAAACACAATGCTTACAATATGCAGCATTATTTTTAAAAAAAACTTCAAAGGACAACATAACCTAAATGCAACTACTCTCCTTTGACTCTCAGAAGCATAAATGGATTATTGTTTTCACACTGAACAATTAGTAATTTTCACATACCGGTTAAATGACAACATTTGCATGTACAAAAAAAAACCACGCGTTTTTTTCAGTAGATAAAATCCCCCCAGAAGAACCTGAACACCTGAGCTGAAGTGTAAGAAAGGGTGGTCATAGCAACACCTTCGTAAGAAAAAAAAAAATAACAGACGAGGTTCTTGCATAGCAAGGTGTGAGGTGAAACCCAAAAGGAGCTTATCCATGAATCAGGTGAATCCCAGCCCACTGTGGAACACCAGCTGGCTGGGAATTAGTGCAAAGGGTGGGCAGGTGGGCGAGGAGCTGCACAGAAACCAGGGCTGGGAACTACAGACGGGTACCATGAGCAAGTCTCACTTGCAGGGGGGGGGAGATGGGCAAGAAAACCTCCTCATCTGCAATTTGCATCTCCTTGGACTGCAGTTTATCCCCCAGGAAACACGGGGGCAGCCCGGGATTCGTATCCCAGGGATCCAGTTCCACGTGGTGCTTCACATTCCCACAGCACTTGGCAAATCCCCCTGAAGGCAGCAGTGGGCAGGGACACTGGAAAAGATACTTCCTTACCCTGTGCCATCTGTTACAGTCATTCTGGCACCTCTGCAGCCGTGTTATAATGGGATAACAGGTGCTTGGGAAGGAACCCTGGTATCCACAACCTCGGGAGCAGCGGGATCCGACCTCCCTGGCCATTCCCACCCCTAATTCCTTGCAATACCTGCACTCCTGCACAGAGCCCACGTGTCAGCGCACACTCAAACACACCTCCATCTGTGGGGAGAACAATGATCTCCATTTATTTTGTTTCATATACATCCATATTTTGAATTTTAATACAAAAGAAAAAAAAAATTAGAATCTGACAAATGTTTACAAACAAGATACCTTCAAATAGATTTTACTCAGTTCAGTCTGGTGCAGAGTAAATGACAAATTGTACTGTTATATTCAAGGCAACAGAGTCTGTAGTCCATGACCACTCAGCCCAACTTCTATGCAAGCTTGTTTTTTATCTACCATGAATGATAAACTCCTTGTTGATTCCCAGTCCTGTGTGTGTGCACATGTGTACATAGCAGCTCCTTTCATAGAAAGAAAAGACATCTAGAGGTCTTCTTGTACTTTTACCTACAGGAATCATGTTAAGATACAGAATGGATTACATGGAACCGGGGCTGGATCTTATAAGAAAAAATAATTAGCTGACAAATGAGGGCAGCGATAAAAAAGCGTCTTTTTTGCAACAATAAATAAATACAGTCAAAGTTTTCTGTGTGGACTTTAAACCAGCTTCTTCACTGAAGAACAGACGTGGCATTTCCATGGAGTTAAACGTGACCCCATTTACTGTATCTTTTTTTTCTCGCTCTCTTTCTCTCTCTCTCCTTCACCAAAACCAAAGTTTTCCTGCTTCTGCCACAATAGTACAACAATTTGATCTTGACAAGAAAGTGGTGCTGCTGATTTCTTTTTTTTTCTTTTTTTTTTTTTTTTAATTATTATTTCTTTGTCCTTTGGACAAAAATAAGCCAAGAATATAATTTGACTGTTGTGACCAATAAAAACGCAGTTTACATCGAGTCTTGTCAGGACAACCTGACTAAAAACATCTGGCTCCTTTCATTAAAAAGTGTCAGACAACCAGATCCTTGCTCGTGTGTTTGGTTGAACTCTAAGAAGCTGTAGACTGCAGTTTGTTGTTATGGGACCTGCAGAATACACAAGAAAGTGAAGAATTAAGCACCCTTCAGTTTGGAGAACACCAAGTGTTGCCAAAGGGTAAACCACAAATAATAAAGGAATCACCACTACGTTGCTTCTGTTTAAGTTTTTTCCCCTTCAGAAAAAAAAAAAACCAAAACAAATGCAAACAAAAAAACCATTTAAAATAATTCTCTCTGAATTTTAAGCACGTTTTCTCCTACAGAACACAAATATTTCTTGGAAAATGCAGTGTGTCTCTGGAATATTCCAAAGTGCCTGCAATCAGTTTTACTCACATATTTACATAATAGTAGTCCATCAAAAGGAAAGCAAAAAGACATTTTTAGTTGTGAGTATTTATAATAAGATCTACTCTGCTTAAATTCATTCAAGAAGTCTTTGGATTAATTTA